AAAAATAAAATATACAAAAATAAATACGTAAATGAAATATGTATGTGTATAAATGTATAATTAGTTTTTGAAACCACAACTTTTAACTAACAAAACAATTTAAATTTGCTTTAATTGATTTAAAAAAAAAATTTGAAAATACGATTTTTCCCAACAAGTAATGCTAATGGTTAAGTAATAAATTCTTACTGTATCTTGCTTCTATCTAAATGATATCAAAATATGTTTTTTATGTAAATTATATTTAAAAAAATAAATATAATTTTGTTTAAGTATTAAATTTTTTTTTAAATTTTTTCCCTCAAAATATTACCACCTTGTTTGAAAACAACTGATATCCGAAAAAAAATTATGAAATTACATTAAATAAAAATGTTTATATAATTGATTTTTGAGTTTGAAAATATATATTAAAACGAATTATAGCAGAACATAAATTTTTTAACGAAATCTTAAGCGAATATTCACCTCACAACTCAACATCACTTGCCCACCACTGTACTTTCAAAGCATACTACTAGCGCAGCCCGCGTACCACCCACACAACTGCGTGTTATTTCAGGCGTGAAACATTTATTGATGTAAACCTTTTTTTTTTTTTCTTTATATTCCTTTTTCCATATATTTTAATTGCAAACATTTGTTTTGAACAAATCAAAAAATTAAAAACAAAAATGTAAACAAAATGGCATGCCGTGTGTGTGTGCGTAATGTTACCAAACATGCACGAACTTTGGTCACACCCCCACCACAACCGGCCGCCCAACTGTACAGGATGTCTGTGGCGTTATGCCCGCGCAAGCATGTCCATAGCCGGCGTTTTTCCACCATTTTGCGATTATAGAGACGGCCATTTGCTACTCGACGGTTGTTACACCAACAATGTGCCAGGTAATGAACTACAACTAAACCACAAGTTTGTTATTTTAGTTTAGTACTATTGCTACCACAACACTAGCAGTTCGCTCCCCAACCTTACTTTGCCTCCTCTCTTCCCCTCTTCTATCACTTGTGCCCCAGCCAGCGCAAAGCACTCAGCAGTTTTGCAAAATTTGACGTTTATCGTTGTGAATGTGTTGGTTACTTTGAATGGTAGTCATCTATGACCCAGTGTCAACTCGCATTTGTCAGCCTCAAATGTTTTTTTTTATTTATTTTAGTTTTTTGCATGCATTATAATATTTTTTAGTTGTTTTAGTAACTGTAGTTTGACGCAGCTGCTGATTTGTGTGCTCTTTGCTCGCATTGCCTTCATCTATGCGCATACATAGTGAGCTTTGAATGTGTGCGTAGCTTCAATCGGCGTTAGAATTAAATTAAATATCAAAAAAACAAATAATTTCAATGAAAAAGCGTTCCAAATACAATTTCCCCTCTGCATTTTCTCCAGTAATCAGTAAATTGGCTTTGCAATTGGACGCTTTGTTTTCGTATGTATGAATGAGTTTTTGCGTAGTTCAATTTTTGAAATGTTTCTATATAGCCATGTTTGTGTGCAACTTCTAATCATCTTCCATGTGTTTTATAGCCGATGTAATGCACAATTTGGGCGCCGCTCATATAATTGCCATCGATGTGGGTTCTCAGGACGACATGGATTTGACGAATTATGGCGATGACCTGTCCGGCTGGTGGTTGTTGTACAAAAAATGGAACCCCTTCACAACGCCGGTGAAGGTGCCCGACCTGCCTGATATACAGTCCCGCTTGGCATACGTGTCGTGTGTGCGTCAATTAGAGGTGAGTATTATAAACTTGTCTCAAAAAAGTAAAAAAAAAAGTTTCTTTCATTCGTCGTATCTTTAGTTTGTTTGGGTCTAAAAGGGTTAAAACTTGTTTGAATGTTTTTTCCAACAGATGGCCACCCGGTTCAAATACATTTTATTCTTAAAACTATTTAATTTGTTATTTATATTGTTGTGCTGCCTTATCTTGTACATTTTGTTAGTGTTTAAAATTTCCAAACAGCTGGTCACTCCTTTTAAAAATAACGTATCTTCCTTAAACCTGTATATTTTGCATCAATATTTTCAATAATTTTTCATAAAAGTCTTCAGTTTATCTTATAAATTTTTCAAACGAGTGGCAACTCTATTGGTAATATCCCCCAATTAAATCTTGCTTGAACCTGTTTATATTGATGTCAATTTTATATTTTTAATTAATTTAACTGAATTTAAAAATATTATAAGCTGATGGCAATTATTGTCACTTTAAGCGCCCCTTAAATTTTAAAAACCATATTTAAGCGATTTTTACCAAAATTTTTTAAACTTAAATTTTTATGAAAAAACTGCTGGACGATTTTTTCTTAAAACTTACCGGTAGAACACTACACTTTTCCCTTTATTTTGAATCTAACTGTAAAAAAATGCCAAAGTCCAACCTGCCCTTTATGAGCACTATTATATTGAAATTTTGCAAAAACCACACACTCGCTACTTTCAGGAAGTGAAAAACTCCGAATACTGCGAGTACATTCGTCCACCCATCGACAAGTACAAAACGCTCGCTTTCGGCAGTTTCGATGAGATACGCGACGTTGGTTATGTTTTCGGCAAAAACTACTTCGATGCCATGGCCAAAGCCGGACGTTTGGGACGCTTCAATCAGTGGTTCAATAAAGAGCCTTTAAAGAAGGAGAATCCCGGTACCTTAAGCGATTACACATTCATCGATTTGGCGCACATCGTCTGCAAATTACCTGAGACCTACATTAGCAACGAACATTTGCATCAGAGTTATCTGTTTAGCGAAGATGAGGATTATGATGGCTACATTTCCGAACCCTCAACGTACAAGCGGGTAAGTGACACACAGCAACAACAACAACAATATCATTAATATCAAATTCGTTTAATAAAATGCATAATAACTTATTACAGATAAAAATAAAGCGCACAGGCACCTCGCTGTCACTCTCCGAAAACGAAATGGACTCAGATATCGAGGTCGACCTCTCGCTGGCTATACGCCAACATCACGCGCATCGTTCGCGCAGCACACCGCACACGCCCGCCTCCGAGTCACACACCGGCGATCAGGTGGACAGCACTGGCGCCGGCAGCTTGGTGCGCTTCGGCAGTAGCGTTATCTTCAAGGATAACGGCATCGCAGCGGTCGGCTCGCAAATTAGCATACGCAACAGTGGGGGCAGTACTGATTTCATAACACCCTACGATGCGCTCAACATAGACGCTGTAGTCGACGAGCTGCCCTTAGATCCGGTGGTGTCGGTGAAGAAAGAGGAGCTCATAGTCGAATCATCACATGAAGCGACAAAAACGACACCTGTGAAAAGCACAGAAACGCAAGTCAAAGAGGAGGATCTGCGTACGCCCACGCCCAGTAATGTCAATGCAAATGAGCCCGCTTACGACGCAGATGCGATTACAGCAAATGCCGACTATGCCGCCTTGTTGCAGAGCTCCAACGATGCGCCGGCAACACCGACAAATACTTTAACCCACAACTCAGCGGCGACATAATGACCCACGACTGCGTACATATTAGTTCATAAGTAATTATTTAAGGCAAAGAGTGTGTATGTATGTGTCTCATGAGGGAATGCGTTAGAAATACAATAAAAGAAAGCGAGAACGCGTGTAAATTTATATTTTGTAGCCATAAATAAATTTAAAGAAGGGAAAAACCTTGAGGGGTAGAAAAAGTATACACTGTGGATAAACATTACACCGTAGAAGCATACACTGTGAAAAATTATCTAACTTTATTTTATTTTATAAATCACAACTAATTACTTTACTTCTAAGTTGAATTGAATTACTGCGACTTATTTGGATATGCCCTTTAAGAGACACAAGTAAAGTTTACACTTTGTTTTCACGACTAATACTGAAAAAGCATAAATATAACTTTTTAGCAAGACTTGAATACGCTGAATTCACTCATCAAATAAATAATTTATCAAATTGGTGTCTCTTTCTCACACACTTGCCGATTACAACTGATCTAGTATAAGTTATATTAACGAAAGTCTTCGGAAATCCTCTTTAAAAATTTTAAAACTGAAGACTTGAATATGAATATACCTGCTTTAGCAATATCGAATTACTGAATATAATCTTTCTTATTTGAAATCAATGAAGAAATAATCGAATTATTAGACACTCATTCTCCGGTATTAAAAATTTTTTAAAGCAGAAAAATAATAATATTAATAGAAATTTGATCGATATTCCCATTTTACATAGATTTTATAAAAGTAGTTATTCTAGCCCTCTCCTTGTAGAAAAGTAATTTGAAATCCTTTAATTTTATTTGAGTAATCACAAGTAATTACAAAGCTAGTAATGATTAATACACAATACAAGTAATTACTTGAGAACAGCTTTGAAAGATTATTTTTCTAAAATGTCTCCTAATTGTAGTACTTTTTATGCAATGAATTTGACCAGAATAAAAGTAAATGTAAAATCTATGAATTGTTTTAATTTTCCTGTTATTTTATTTACTGCAATGATTTTCAGATTTTTGAATAGTAAACAAAAGTTGACAATATATTTATACAGAGTGACACCAATGTTCAGAAAGCAAAATAAGGCACACTTCTGCTCGCAAGAAAGTCGACCGCTGCCACGGAATATTCCCAGGTTTGTCAAGCAACATTTTTCTGAAGTATTTATAAATGGATTTTGCAGTTGTAACAACAACAACTTTTAACAAATGTTACTATTTAGATCGTAACAATAAAAATATTAGATATCCGCAGAAGGTTGTGATGTCGCTGTAGAGGCAAATTTATCTGCCTGACGAGAGAAACGAAGTGATATCGGAAGCGCTGTGAAATGACAATATATTAATAATCAGATATATGTTTCACTCATCAGGCGTATAAATTTCCCCCGCCTACTCAAGTTGACGATTTGATAGCAACCCGTCTTTTGATACTTAAGGTCTGTAGAAGATATCATGACATTTCGCTCTATTCGAAAGCAACTCTCTATAAAATTCAATATCACTGTTAGAGCAGCTTATTGCGCTACTTTCTTTTTCATCAAGTGCCAGCGCTGCCATTTTTTCATCTATATTTTCATCCAATTCAGATTTCATCACATTTTCGCCAACTTCTTGCTGTTGCTCAGCTCCGTCAACCTCCGGCACATTCTCATCCGTCACAACTTCACCATCCTCCGAGTCTACTGCCATCGCAATATTCGCATTGATCGCACAGGTTTCGTTGGTGCAAGGTTCATCGATATTTTGCTGTTCAATCACTTCTTCCAAACAAGCATATTCATCAAAGTCTTCTGGTTTCTCGTAAAGTGTCATTTGCCTGCCTATAATTTGCAAATACTCGATGTCTGGGAAAAATGGTAGCACACGTCGGATATCTTTGACCTTGGCGGCAATATTTTCCTGTACTGCTCTCGAGGTTACCCAACCGGATCGGCGCACACAGCAATTCTCGCCGATGAGTTCACATTTAACACCCGCTGGCAAGCCAGAAACTTCAAAATATCTCTGTTTAGCAGGTTGTGTGGAAATCAGCTCCATTGTGCAACAGCCATCTGGAGAACATTCCGTGAAGGCAGCCTTTTTCTGATGAACTCGCGGGTTTATGCTCTCCGCATGCGCCAACAGGCGCTGTGTCATCGATTTGTCGCGTCCATCCACAGTGCCGCTGCGATTGAAGAGCAGCTCGCAATATGCTTTACCGGTGCGTTGCACGAGTCTATCGGCTATGTTGTTGCGCAATTGTAGTTCGCGTTGCCATGTCTGCAGGCGACGATCACTCCTGGCTGCCAAATTTGCATCAAAACAGCACAGGCAATCAATACTGTCTCCCCCTGCAGCCAATGTGACACATCGTGGTCTCTTGTGGCGACAACTTCTGGTCCTCTTCGGTTTATTCAGCACCTTTCTAAGAAACGCGAGGTTTGACGGTATTGCCCCGCAGCGACAACATGGTCGTAGTAGTTCACTGCATCTAGGACAAGGTCCACCATTCATTATGCGAAATTTTTTTTTTTTTACTTTTAATTTACATTGGCGCTTATGGTGGGTTTGGAGTTTGAATCAACGGAAATTTTGTAGCAAAATGAGAAAACAAATCAATTCTAATTTATGTTTTGTCTGACGTTACGGAGAATTGACTTATATTATATTTTATTAAAAATCAGTTGAAGTCAGTTGCAGAAGTCACAATAGACTTCATCTATTGCTGGCTGCAGAAAACAATGCGAACTATAGAGCTAAATATAAAGGTATAATCTTCTAAAAGAGAGTACAGCTCCTGGCCTACTCCAGGTGTCCACCACCGCGCATTTACCTCCATACCGGAGAATATCATGCTCACGTGGAAAGTTCTCTGAACGCCATTTACTTGGGAGCGGGCAGAAACGATGCCTTTACATACAGCTGAAACCGCTCACAACTTTCGGAATTAGACCAAGTATCGTCTGGGTAACCAAAAGACATCCGTTTGAATCCTCAGGGTAGTGAGCTGAGCTTGGGACCCGTCACATAAAAAACGCTCCAATGAAAAGGAAACAACGACCTCGGATGAGAGACTTCCCTTTTGTTGACGACAAAACGCATTAAGGAATACGATTTAAGGGCATGCATTTAATGTCCGATTTCTTAATTGGGAAGACCGCTTCGCAGCTGGTTGATGTCCTCGTAAAAAGGACAGACGAGTAGGTCGGGGTGACATTTATTACAGTGGCCATACAATAGAGCGCAAATTCGGTGTGGGATTCGCTGAGACTGATCGACTTCGCCGGGATCTGAAATATAATTATATAGTACAAAATTCCTACATAGGGAAATTCATCAAGCTACCTGTCCGTCTCCGGTTCGATAAACTACCAAGCAGAATGATGATGTTGGGATGACGATAGATGGGCATCCGTTCCGAGGTCCTAAAATCAACTCGGACCACTATCTTGTTGCAGCCAAGATACGCACCCGCCTCTGTGCCGCAAAAAACACTCGCCTACAAACACAAGGAAGGTTCGACGTCGAGAAGCTGCAATCACAACAGACAGCAGAACAATTTTCTTCTAGACTTGCACTCCTGCTCTCTGAGAGCACTTATCAGAAACTGCGTATGGATCAAGTATTAGACGACATTACGTACAGCTTCAAACGAAACCTTTGGTTGAGGAGTGCCGTGTGGCATCGGAGAGAAAAGAGACTGCCTATCTCCCAACCTTACAATCGACCACAATCCGTGCAGAATGGGATAGATACCGAGAGTTGAAGAAAGAAACGAAACGCACTTGCAGACTAAAAGGAAAGGAACTGCGTGAGTACGAAGAGCTGGGCAAGCTGGCCGATAGGCAAAAGATGCGGCGACATACATTCATGACAGTTATCTTGCCTTTTTATGAATGTTAATATACCTGCATAGTAGCTGAGGGCGTTTCACAATGGGCCTCCTGAGGACCGGACCAGGCAGTATAACTGCAGTATCTAGTTTTGAACATATTGTAGATTACACATTAGATCGCTAGTTGAATCTTGAAGTTTTCGTTTTATTCCTTTTTTCTTTCTTATTTTCTCTTTTTTTAAAGAAAAATTCGTGATGTAAAATTTGTTTGTGTTTATTAACACATTTGCATTTTCAATTTTGGTTACATATGTATGTATTGTATTTATCACATTATTCAACGTCAAAACTATGTTCGGTGTAAATAAATATTAACCCCAAATATTATATATATTAATTAAATCAATAGGTTAAAATGTAAACGATCAGTTCAATACCATAGATAGATAGTATCATCATTCAACCCGCGAAATATCTTCAATCTCAATTAACGGTAACAACATCAGTATGAACAAAAACAACCAGCCGCCACAGTGACTGTCTTGAATTTCCACTCTTGTCGCAATTCATCGGGTAACCAAGCCAACGCCGGATCGTTTTGTGTCGGTTCCAATAAGGAGCGTGGTGTGAGTACTTTGACTTTGTACTCCAATGGCTTGCAGTAGGAACCGCGCCAACATTTCTGCGGATATTGATTAGGTGATTGGCTATTTTGACAAACTGCATTCATGAGATAGCGTGGATAGTGCTGTTGACCCAAGTCCAAGAGATCGATCTGAAAGAGGTTGTAATAGTAATGACTCTAGGTTGAGTGCCAGTTCAGTAAGCAAAGATAAAGTCAATCTATATGGCTAATCGTAATAGCTTATAGAAAAATATTCTAAAAAAAATCTTTCTGAACCCCTTCAATCCGGATTCGATTCGAATGGATGAAAAATAAAAGGTTAAGGTAAAAGATTATATAAGATAGTCTGGACGGACGTGGTATAATTTTCTTTCTAATATTGTAATAAACTGGCCTATTGCATTCATTTTCAATTTCTCTAGTCCAAAAGCCGAAAAAGTTCCCCTTTTGATATTCTATTTTTGCAGCGAACTTCTGACATCAACCTTACCTTAACTTTACAATCACAGCCAATTACCGGAGCAGTACCGGCCCTCTTAGCGTCTATTTTGCTCGTATCAATCAGCAAATCTTGGTAAAACTCTGCAAAGTGAGAAACAGGCAAAGCGTGAGGAAACTTGCTACCAGTTAAAGAGGACTTGTCTTTGCTGAGCGTATGCTCATTGCTCCGTCCATCAGGCGGTGTCTGCATCTGGTTTTGATCTAAGATTTCTATTGATAAATCGTCTTTGTGTGACTCGGATCTAAAATGCAACAAACAACGTTCTCAAGTGAAAGACCATCTGGGCTCATCTGCTTTTAATCAGCAGCTTCACTTTTAAATATTTTCTTATTGTACCTCTTGCATTCAAAGCCTTTGCTCAGCAGCAAATCGGAATCTACATTATCTTTCGATTTCGTCCAACCTTCAAAGGAGCTCAAGCCTCCGTAAGCTGCGTAAAGATGTTGCAGCAGATCCTTTCTACCAACATCACCGCGTCTCTGTACACCTTTAGTGCTATCATTGTCGCGTAACTCCGAAAATATTGTGTCCTCAACCGGGTTCTGAAACTCATCGATTGAGGTCTTTGGTATCGCGGGCGTCACTTCGGAACCAATGAAGTCGAGAACTGGCTTGAGTAGAAAATTATCTAAACGATGGCCAACAATATTACCAAGACACAGCGATAACAATAATAACGCGATCTGTTAAATATGTAAAGAGATTTAATTATTACGCTTGGCACCGCTTTGACGTGTCGCAAACAAGAACTAACCATTTTTGGTAGAAATTTTGTTTTAAAGCACTAATTTGGTAAGCAATTTAGAAACGCTGAGAATCAAGCTCCGCGCAGGTCATGATGTACACCACACGACTGGAACGAAAGGATAACTGTGACTGCGCGATGTCGAGAGAGCGCTTTTATTGGCGAGATTCGTTGGGTCGTAGACAATGGAGCAGGTGTCAAAAGTCGTCAAACGGTCAGCTATTGTCTTCATATGAACACAATTCATGCGCATAAGATTACCAACGTACTGGGCACAGCGCGGTTGCTATAGCCTTCAGCGTTTCTTGTGTTGACTTTGGTCACATCATTCATTCAGAAAACTGACCGAGCTCATACGCACGCACATAGCTGTGGAGAGGGGGTATCAAAGTGTTTCTATTGACAGCTAACGTGTGTGTTGTGTATTGTCTTATTGACACATTTTTTCATACTAACCTGACCAGTATACATATTATTATCGGCAAGGAAACAAAAAAACGTCCGGGTGGCCATATCTGAGTAGGGTGGCTTCAAAATTTTGGGATGCCGGCCTTAGTTAGGTACTTGCAGCTGTTTACAAGAAAGGCGGTGTGAGCCGGGGCATTGTCGTGGTGCTACTTCCAATCGGCTGCGATGTCTTTGTCGGCCCGAATTGAGCCTTCGTTTGAGTCTCTTGAGGATTGAATCACAGTTTTTGATAAATTTAACATCTGGGCTTTTAAACGAATACTTAGTATTTTGCGCACACGCGACACATTGTCGATGTTTGTCGAAGTCGCAGGTCTCCCAGCACAGTCTTCTTCAGCGACCTCTTTCCGGCCCTCCAGAAAGAAGAAAATCAGTCCGATTACTTTCCGGACAATCCCTGTAGCTCATTTGAGCAGATCTCTCTGCAGTTTGTACTGGGATTAAGTACATACTATATACTTAAAAGTACTTTTTTCTGCTCTTCTCTTTCTCCTAATTTCCCTAATTTCTTTCACGTATTAACGTATATAAATATATATTTCTTTGTGGAGTACATGTTTACCGTTGTCTAAGACAATATCATAGCAAATCTATTGTTTCCAATTTAGCACCTCATCCCTCTCATTTACATCGAATATATTTTTAGTATTTGTATATACATACATTTGCTTATGCATGAAAACTTCCATTGGCAACCTCTTATGCATTGAAGTTGCTAATCAAATAGTAAGAAAAGATTCTGATAAAATTAAAGTAAAGAATTTTGGTTGAGCCTCTTAAGACTGTCACTGTGTGTACGTTAAGGCAGACAGTTACGGCCTCAAAATTCGAACAATTTTCGTAAAAGACTCGTGAGTTACGAGTATAACACACTTTGGAGCTGTAACGCGTCGAACRAAAAATGTTTTTCTAGTAATTTTTATTTTTTTTAAGTAGGCGCAAGCATCATAAACGAGGTGAGGAACAAACCTAACCTACTCCAAACTCCAGACTCTCCTATGGAACCACCTGATTGAATATTAGTTCGTGGTAGTCATAAAGCATTTAACACTCCCCTTTGGCATGGACTGATGCACGCCAAATCTGCTCTATTTGTCTCAGTTTTGTTATGACTGAGGCTGCCGCTTCATTGGCAGCTTTGCAGTTCTCTGTGGACTGACACATGGGTGTCGCCAAATTTTCCATTGTACCTAAAAATGGAGGACAATAAAAGAATACATACTCAGAGACTCTGAACGTGTCGGACCATTCGAACTAATGTCGTGCTGGAATCTGTAGTTAGCTGCGAAAGTATCCATATCCACTTATTACTTGACTTAGATGTGATTCTTTGCCTGTGATATGCTTTAATGCCTAGCGCCTGGATTCGTATTGAAGCCGCAAACAATACAATCGATCTCATTACCTTTGCGAGTAAAACTTATTTGCCACCATTCTTGATGTTTATGATTTTATTCGATTTAGCTACAGTGTACTCCAAGTGATTCTTCAATTTGAGCCCAGATAGTACTTTCCTCCACTTTTCTAGTACTTACGGCATTGAAGGCGTCATGGAAGGCATTCTCCGGAAGAGCTTTGAGAGCCGAGCCGACAGTCTGAGTTCAAAACTTTCAGCACACGAGTTACATTCGAAGTCGCAGGTCCCCCAGCACGGTCTACATCAGTGATCTCTTCCCGGCCCTCCAAAAAGGCTTGGTATCACCGAAACACACCACTTCTTACTAAAGCAACATCTGGGGACATTTGTCCAATTATTTTCCGGACAAACCTTGTATGAACAAGATTTCTGTATTTTTCTTTGCCAGTTCTAAACTCATTGAGGAGAACCATTGTCGCAGACCGTCTATGCACTTATTTCATTTGCTGCGGAGATTATATAGGTGTTTAGCCACTGCTACCATTGAAGGAGGAGCAGATAAATCTTGATTTTGGTCAGTGAGTTTGAATGGAAGATAATGTTACAGTAGTTTGATTTGAACTATTTGTTCGGACATTGTAACAATAATACATACATATATGCCGAATGCCTTGAAAATAAATTGTCAAATGAAGAAATTTTGATTTGCTAAGAGAGAGCATTATAGTAGATCTATTCTTTATGGGGGTTAGAAATTTCACGGTATTTAAGGATATACACTACGTCGATTGACTAAACTGTTAGAATATTAAATGTTTTTTAAGATTAGTAAGCATTCATATTATCAAGCTATATTGATTTCCGCATATTTTGTTCCGTAACCTAACTCATAGTACAAGGAAATATTAGAAGGGATTCGATATTTGAGGTTCAGCATAATTTGCCACATAAGAACCGCGCCGTTAGTGCTGCTTTCTCCAGGTTGGACAAAGAAACGAAAGAAACGGGTATGGTAGTGAACAAGGACAATATGAAATATCTCCCGTCATCAAATAAATAGTCGTCGCATTCGCTACTTGGCTCTCACGCCACCATTGATAGTCATAATTTCGAAGTCGTAGATAATTTCGTTAGCAGACTCAGCATCGAAATTCAACGCAGAATCACTCTTGCCAACAGGTACTACTTCGAATTGAGTAGACGATTGAGAAGTGAAGTCCTCTCTCGACGAACAAAGTCCAAATTTTACATATCATTCGTCCTCTATAAGGTACAGAGGCATGTACGATGACAACATCTGATGAGTTGGCATTACGAGTTTTTCAGAGAAATTTTCTGCTGAAAATTTATACGACGACATAAACATAGCGAATTAAGAGACAGCGACTACACTGGGTAGACCATATCTTCCGAATGGACGAAAACACTCCAGTTCTGAGAATACTCAACACAGTACCCACCGAGAGAAGCAGAGGAAGAGATGATGTCCACTCCGTTGGAAAGACCAAGTGGAGAATTGCCTAATTGGACTTGGAATCTTCAATTGACGTCAAACTTTCGCGTTTTTGTAAATTCGGCTATAACGTGTTATCCACGTCAATAAAGAAGAAGAAAAAGAAGAATTCTTACCAAAAAAAAAAAAAAATCAAGTAATAAAGACTAAAGTAAGGAGGGTTGACTATAAATTTAACATCAATTTTCTTTTTTCAGATCTAAAATGAATGAAGAGCTAATTGCCAAGCCTGAAATATATTTTGAAGCTAAATGCCACAAAAATCGTACAACAAAAATGGTATTGACAGAATCAGAGATCACTGTAGTAGGCGTCTCGCCTTCAATGACATGTCATTTGGAATAAAAATCGAAATTTTGAAAGGAATATACATACATATTTTTCCTTAAAAGCGATATGAACTTCTGAGTCTGTTTGTTAGTTATGAGTTTAATATTTATCACTGTTATAAGAAGACTATAGAAATATAATAGAAAGCATATGTCTCTTTATGAACCTCTGAGATCATAAGCCATCAAACACGCACACGGTTTTAAAAATATATATTTCTCCGGCTCGAATTACTAGTAGCTAACCAAAATCCGTCAAAAATATAAAATCTCCCTCTAACTACACCGCGATTTTACTGTTTTTATACCTAACACATACGTCATTTAGTGTATAGGTATGTGTGTTTGTAAATAGCTTAGAAAGTAAAGAGGATAATAATAATAATAACAACAACCATAAAACCTTACTATCGTATACAAAAATAAGCAACGATAATAAATATGTATATTTTGTAGAAAGTGCAATGGGGATCTTACAATACTTAATCACCGAATACTAGAAATGAATAATACGCCACAACAACAACACGGCAGTGTTAAAAACAAAATAACAATATAAATAGTAAAGCTGAAATGCTAAAAATGCTGAAACAAAAAGACCATTCAAAATAAAAGCGGCAGAAATAGAAAAAAACGGCGAGCGGAATAGTCGTAGAACATAAATTTCTAGGGCTTCCGCAGCGAACTTCTAAAGTTTAGAACATGCCAACACAATCCCCTAATTTAGTCTACTTGGTGACATCGTCGGTGGGACATACAGCAGACCAAAATCGTAAAATCGTAGAAA